CTGCTGCCGGGGTCCAGAGTTTCCATGGGTCCCTGTCGGCCCCCCATTGTGCTGTCTCCATCCCCACACTTCCCATGTGCCACTTTCAGGTTCCTCCACCTGTGGTGTTTTTGAATTTTTTGACATAGGGGTGGAGATTAGGGGCCCCCATAGCTGCTGCCGGCCCCTAATCTCCCATAGGCCCCTATATACCCCCTCCTCAGCTGTGCCAGGCCCAGAGTCTTCATGGGCCCCCTGTCGGCCTCCCTTTTGCTGCTGCTCCATCCCCACACTTGCATGTGCCATTTTCGGTTCCTCACACATGGGGTGTGTGAATTTTTTGACATGGGGTGGGGGCAGATTACGGGCCCCCCCAAGCTTCCAGGCCCCAAATCTGCCGGGGGCCCCCTATATCCCGCCCCCTCATGGCTCCCAGGTCCAGAGTCTCTCTGGGTCCTGTAGGCCTCCCATTGCTGCTGTCTCCTCGCCCACACTCTGCATGGTGCCACTTTTTCACGGTCTCCTAACACTGCTGGGTGTGTTGATAATTTTTTGACATAGGGTGGATCTGGCCTGATGTGACGGTCCTCTATAGACGGCTGCCAGGCCCTAATCTGCCATTGGGTCCTATATACCGCCTCCTCATTGCTCTGCCAAAGTTCAGAGTCTGTCATGGGTCCCCTGTTACGGCCTCCCATTGCTGCTGTCTCCTGATCGCCACACTCGCTGCCATGTGCCACCTTTCAGGTCTCCCTTCACACATAGCTGGTTTTCCATTTGTTGTCAATGGTGCTGGCAATTTATTTGACATCCCATAGCTGCTGCCAGGCCCCTAATCTGGCCATGGGCCTCCTATATACCGCCTACTCTTGCTGCCCGCCAGACGTCCAGAGTCTCTCATGGGTCCCTGTACGGCCTCCCATTGCTGCTGTCTCCCATCGCCACACTCTGCCATGTGCCACTTTCAGGTCTCCTCACACTGCTGGTGTGTTGAATTTTTTTGTCATAGGGTGCCTGGCAGATTACGGCCTCCCATAGCTGCTTCCAGGTCCCCTAATCTGCCATGGCCCCCTATATACCGCCTCCCATGCTGCTTGCCAGGTCCTAGAGTCTCTCATGGGTCCCTGTACGGCCTCCCATTTGCTGCTGTCTCCATCGCCACACTCTGCCATGTGCCACTTTCAGGTCTCCTCACAACTGCTGTGTGTAGAATTTTTTGACATAGGGTGCTGGCAGATTACGGGCCTCCCATATAGCTGCTGCCAGGCCCCTAATCTGCCATAGGCCCCTATACCGCCTCCTCATGCTGCTGCCAGGTCCAGAGTCTCTCATGGGTCCCTGTACGGCCTCCCATTGCTGCTGTCTCCATCGCCACACTCTGCCATGTGCCACTTTCAGGTCTCCTCACACACTGCTGGTGTGTTCCATTTTTTGTCATAGGGTGCTGGCAGATTACGGGCCTCCCATTGCTGCTGCCAGGGCACGTAATCTGCCATGGGCCCCCGTACCGACTCCTCATGCTGTGACGTTGCAACAAGGTGGAATTCAACCCTACATATGTTAGACCGCCTTTACGAACAGCGAAAGGCCATCACAGATTTCCTGATGTTAAAAGCGGATAAAGGTACTCCCTGTGTAACTTAGATGTCAGCCATTGGCAGCTCATGCGTGACACCTGCGCTTGCTCAGGCCCTTTGAGGAGGCCACGCTATTCGTGAGTCGGCAGGACTATGGGATGAACGACGTCATTCCTCTGTTGCACGTCCTGGAACAAATGCTGTTAACAATGGCTGGTCAGGGTGCGGTAGACGTGGCGCACAGATCTCAACGCCACATGACCCCTGTGGGGGGCAGGACAGGAAGAAGAGGAGGAGGTAGAGGAGGACATTGGTGCTCAGGAATTATTGAGTGAAATGGGTGGTTTTTCCACTCAGCGGACAGGAGTGGAGGAGCAGGAGCATCTGGTAGAGGAGGAGGAGGAGGAGACAGAGGACCCAGACGCACCGTGGCAGTATGCTGTGGAGATGGAGGCAGGGAGTCCCTCGCATTCCTTGGCACAAATGGCCCATAGCATGCTCGCTTGCTTGCGTAGCGACAGCCGAATAATAACCATCAGACAGAGGGATGACTTTTGGCTGTCCACCTTGTTGGACCCTCGCTACCGTTCAAAAATGGTGGCCTTTTTCACACCTGCTGAGAGGGAGGCCAAAATAACGTACTATAAAAAAACCACCTATGTAGTCAGCTGGTCTCTGCCTTTCTGCGCCAACGTCCATCCTCAGACACTGTGGGCCCTGTGCGCTCGCGTTCCGCTGCCATGGCAGCAGGGGAGGGGTGGGGTGGGTGGTAGGAGCAGTGGCAGCTCCACCAGCAGCGGCTGCCTCAGTCTGCAGTCGATGATGAGTAGCTTTCTTCACCAGCGCAGTGAGGAAACTACTAACCAGCCGCAGCACTTAGCAGCAGCAGCAGCATCAGGTGGACCTGGAGCAGGACCTCAAACAACAGGCTTAGGCCTACTTGGACAGCACCCTGCCAACCGAGGTAGACAATCCCCTTGACTACTGGGCAACGAAACTTGACCTTTGACCCCAACTAGCTGAATTTGCCCTTGAAAGGCTGTCATGCCCGGCCAGTAGCGTGGCATCGGAGCGCGTGTTTAGTGCGGCAGGAGGTATTGCAACTCCGCGAGGACACGACTGTCCACCCAAAGTGTGGAGAGACTCACGTTTGTGAAAATGAATCAGGCGTGGATTAGTCTGGATTTCAAACCACTAGTTCCTGACACAACTGACTAAATCCGCCATGAATCATGCCCCAAACATGTGCCACTTTCAGGTCTCCTCACACACTGCTGGTGTTTTCCAATTTTTTGACATAGGGTGCTGGCAGATTACGGGCCTCCCATAGCTGCTGCCAGGCCCCTAATCTGCCATGGGCCCCTATATACCGCCTCCTCATGCTGCTGCCTCAGGTCCAGAGTCTCTGTGAGGACTGCCAGGTCCAGCAGTGTCTCATGCCATGTGCCACTTTCAGGTCTCCTCACACACACTGCTGGTGTGTTCTAGCAATTTTTTGTCATAGGGTGCTGGCAGATTACGGGCCTCCTATAGCTGCTGCCAGGCCCCTAATCTGCCATGGGCCCCTATACCGCCTCCTCATGCTGCTGCCAGGTCCAGAGTCTCTCATGGGTCCCTGTACGGCCTCCCATTGCTGCTGTCTCCATCGCCACACTCTGCCATGTGCCACTTTCAGGTCTCCTCACACACTGCTGGTGTGTTCCATTTTTTGTCATAGGGTGCTGGCAGATTACGGGCTCCTCCCATTGCTGCTGCCAGGCCTGTAATCTGCCATGGGCCCCCGTACCGCCTGGTCACGCTGCTGCTGGGTCCACAGTGTGACATGGGTCCTTGTACCGCCCTCCATTGCTCCACTGCATGTGCCACTTTCAGGTCTCCTCACACTCCTGCTGGTTTCCATTTTGTCATAGGTTGCTGTATGGCCTCCCATTGCTGCTGCCTCCACCGCCACACTGTGGCTCCAAACACTGGTTTTGGCCCCGTGACTGGCCAAATGAGTGAAGTGTGCGGTGATTCTAAGATCGACGGCACTCATTCTGCATGTCATACTGAGTGACAGTATTATTTCTCTTCCCCAGCAGACTCCAACGGGCATTTAAATTAAAGGTTACAGTGTTCTGCACTAATATTATGTCTCTCTGAAGCCATAGAAAACACCCTTTTTTAAGTCTAAATTCACAGAGCGAATTTATTCGACTCAAATCGAATGAAGTGTCCACCTGACTATCTCGCACGAACTCCCTGCATGAAATATTGCGTTCTGTCTACCTAACTAACACACTACCTTTGTACTCTAGTTTAGGTAATTTTTGACAGGATTGGGACAGTATTTTGATTGATATATAGAAGTTTTCTGTAAAAGGAAAAAAGGAAGTAATGATACTTCACAATATGTGTTCCAACTCATAAACTGATTGTTCCATAATCTTTCATATTTGTTGAAAAGGTGCAAGAATAATGCAATGTTTGTGCCAAAAATAATGATACTGCATTTCTTTACAGAAATGACATCTAAAATCAAAATGAAGCGTAACAATCTACTACAAGCCAACGTGAAGGATTTGGACGTTAAAAAGAGATCTTCATATGGGAAGAAGATTGGGAAAAAGAGCTTAATACTTCACACTTGTGACTAATTTTATCACGTTCAACAAAAATGTCTCTACTTTTACAGAATTTAAAGAAAATATTTTATAGACATTGCATGAAGAAAAGATTCATCAAGAGGAAATCTATTTATTATTAGTGATAAAATAATTTATTATTGAAAATATTGTTATAGGTCACAATATATTTTAATGATCCTTTTATTCCCATACTTACATCCTATTAGATAATATTAATTTTATTATTTTTTTTTTTTAAAATTTCATATACTGAATTTTTTTTGGTTAAAACTTCATAAGTAATTCCCAGTTTATAGAATATTTTTTTAAAAAGGTTTAAAAAAAACATATTACTCTTATAGGAGTAATAGAAACTTTTTAACACATTTTTGAAAGAAAGTTTAAAATTTGGAGATTAAAAAAATTACACAAATATGGAACTATATACATTAATTATTTTTAACTTTTAAATTTTTATTAATTAAGTGTTCTTGCATAGCAAGGAAAAACTTTTTGTTATCTCAAAATATATATTAAGTGTTCTTGCATAGCAAGGAACACTTATTTTTATCTCACATAATAAATTTTTTTAATGTTCTTGCATACAAAGGAACATTATTGTATCTCACAATTATTCTTATTCTTTTTCCCTTTCTTATTAAAGCCATTTTGCCAGCTAACTCCTCCCCAGTTTTTACATACAAAGACAATAATATATCAAAAAAGTGCGGTTGTTCCCGATCGGATTTCTATTACTTTTTGGAAGTTTTTCCCCAAACGTTCACGAAATATCGCGGTTTTTTGGCGCATTTTCCCATAGGAAGCATTGAGCAACTAGGTGAGAAGGCAAATCTAAGTGTAGAAGGAAAAAACAAAATGATTTGTAAACTGCCCACTCGCCATTTTCAAGCCCACCACACATATCTTATATCAAAACGTTCAGCAACCCTGCTTCCAAAATGTTCACGGGTGGACATACTCCTGATAGTTTTCAAATTGACCATTTGTTTGCACACACCCTCCCCTTACTTTAATTGAAAATCCCCCTAGACACCAGACTTTTTAAAGGGCGTTTTTTTAAAATGCGACTGTGCCTTCATTTTTTTTTCTTTCAGAGACATACTATACATCAATGTGGTCTTTTTTTGGATTGCACAATATAAACCTTTTCATGGGAGCATGTATACTTTTAAATACAAGGTTTGAAATGGCAATCGCCATGAAATTGGCAAGTTTAAATAGCCGTTTTTTGGAGGCTGTCACACACCGTGACTGACTGAGGGAACAGGTGCAAGCAAAGGTCACCAGGGGGGGAGCTGATCCATTAAGTGAAAAGTTACAGTGTGAAAAGGAAAAATCAGAAAAAGATTTTTAAAAATGCCATAACTATGTCATTTCAAACCCCCCTACAATACTTTTCAAAAAAAATTTAGTAAAACCCCGCTGTCACTAAAAATGTTTTACCGGTAGGGCAAACTCCTGATAGTTTTTCAGAATATGACCATTTTTTTTCAAATCACCCCCCCATTGACTTTTTTTGAACTCCACTTAGACACCCGACATTTTAAAAAACGTTTTTTTAAAATGCGACTTGCCCTTCATTTTTTTTATCTTTCAGAGACAGACTTACATCAAAATTT